AAGATTCAGCAGTTTTTTATTTGGAGAATGAAATGAATATTTATTTGGAGAATAAAATGTTCTGAAAAACCAAAGTAGAAGTTTTGCGAAAGGAATTTTTCTGTTTGCTACTAGTGTGTTCAGAGAGAGCAGTGGTGCTGTGAATTCAGAGCGCTGGTGAATGCAACCCATGCCTGGGTTCTACTTCTCAGCATTTATCTCTATGGTTCCTTTTAAATATAGTATCTCATAATCTTAGAACTCACACTGCTTGTGGCAAAATAGGAAGCCGTCTGCATGATGCCTTATTCTGAAGAAGTTAGAAAGTTCCACTTCCTTATGTCAAATTTTGATTGAGCCTTTTCAAGCTGGGGTCTGACTTCATTACCTCATCTGAAGCAAACTGCCACTGAGCTCTGGTTTGATTTACAGAATCTTTGTTGGGCTAAACATAAATAGATGTTTGGTTGATAAGAAAGGGTGTAGTTAGACTAGATAAGTACACATGGTGACAGTGCTAATTGAAGAGTAACTGAAAACTAATGAATGACGCCTACAACAAAAGCCTCAAGAGTAAAACTTACCCTGGAAACTTACAGACTTTTAATGCAGAGGTGTACAATCCAGAGTGATCCAGAATTCAAAGTGTGGTTTTAAACTTTTGGAAGTACATAAGTTTGTGGAGATCTGTATCCAATTCAGCGACCTCCATCCAGCAAAAACTACTGCATCTCTCCTGTGAGGAACACTTACAGTATACACAGCATAGGGTTGTTAGCTATGTTATCCAAAGGATAAGACAAGAGTTATTGTCTAATAAACGGAAAATTAGGAGTAGACATGCTCTAAACTCAGGAAGATGTTTTGGAGTGTCACCCTGGAGAGCACAGAATTGGTGGAACAATTTAGCGTGGGGTGAGAAAGAGGAGATGTCGGTGTCTTCCCTGTAAAATAATTTAGACACTTTCTAGAATGGTCCTGGTAGGATTGACATTTACATTCTGGGATATTTTTATTTCAGATTGAGAATTCTTAGAATTATTTAAAATTCCTTTGCCAGGTGTTTTCAAATATGAACAATCAGGGAAATAAACAATAAGTAAAACAACCTCAACAGGCACAGCTGTATTTGCACCCCATATTTTGATCTGTCTTTACTCCAGGTGCATTTGAATATTTTTATATGTGAGTGTTTATAAAGTGCTAAATAAATATGTTATTTTGAAGAGTCTGTTGCTTGAGTTTTAGTTACTGGCCACATGTCTGCAGGGCCTTTATTGTCATTTATTCTAAGTTTTTTGTGAATATAGTTTCAGAACATTAAAGCCACGTCAAATAACTAGAACTTGAGATAGAAACAAGTTGGACTTTGCATCTCAGTTGTAGATAGGAGGTTGATGATGGAATATGAATGTAATTTTTAAATTATTTCGTTATTAGAACAAGAGGGCATGGAGCAAAAATATTAATTTTACAAAAATTAATTTTTAAAGCAAAACTCCAGGGTATAAGGAAATACAGCATATGTAGTTTGAAGTCTAGATTTGTCTTGTTGACTTTCAAAAGGCAAGAACAAAACTGAGGCTACCAGAGGTGGAGGAGAGGAGGGAGGGAGGGAGGGGAGTTAGCGAGAAATCGGTAAAGGGCCACAAAAGATGATTCCATTGTGCAGTGTTTGAATATACTAATGATACTGGGGGGAAAAATAAAGAAACATTTTGAAAAAATAGATTTGTCTTGTTGAAATTTTAAAACAAATAGATTGATGATTTAAAGTGTCAGATTTTTTCTTAATTGTGAAGTAACATTTAGGTATACTGGTAAAAAAAAAAATGGAGGTGAATGAAGAAAAATATTCATCTTTCTTCCCCTCCAGTACTGCCCTGTCAGGTAATCAGTGTTAACAGTGTGTGTTTTTCTTTACCTCTCCATTTACTAATGTAAATATATATATAGGGCTCATTTTTATATTTTCTATAGCAATGGGGTTGTGTTCAGTGTATCTAGTATGCTGCACGGTAACTTTTCACTGATGTACCATGGACATCCTTTCAAGTCAGTATATACAAATCCAACTCATTTTAATAGCTGCATAGTATTCCACAGGATGGATGTTCCCTAGCATATTCAAAGATTGTTTTGTTAGTGAACATCAAGCTTATATTTTTTAGGTTTTTTTCTTTACAGATAATACTGTGGTAACATTCCTTATTCATGTAGCCTTATATAGCTGTGTTTTCATTTTTATAAGCTAGGTTCCTTAAAAATACAATCAATGCATTAGAGAATATGCACACTTTTATTTAATAGATATTGCTAAATTACTTACCTAAAAGTTGTGACATTTTACTCTTGGTGAGAGTGCCCATTTCTACACAGCGTTAGCAGATGTGGATGGTATTCATCTTAATTTTTGCCACTAGGATAAGCAAAAACTGCAGTCTCATTAGCACTTTAATTTGCATTTCCGTGAGCATGTTTTTATATGTTTATGATCCGTTTGCATCTTCTCTAAGAATTGCTGGTTTCCCTCGTCTGCCTATTTTTTCACTGACCTGATTGTTTTTTTCTTACCAGTTTATAAGTCATTATTTTATTAGAGATGTGTTTTTATCCCAATATATTATGGGTCTTTTGGCTTTATCATGGAAAATTTTATATTGTTATATAATATAATCTGTTAGTGTTTTCCTTACTGTTGATGGGTTTTCTGTTTTTCTTTACAATATCTCCTACCCATCTTATATGAATAGGCTATTAAATTGTCTTCATCTGTTTTACACATGTGTGCGTGCATGTGCATGCCACACACACACTCAGACATTTCATCCTCCTTTATTTAATCTGATGTAGAGTATGGTTCTTTTTCCTCCAGATGGATAGCCAGTTAGGCCAGCACCATTTATTACCAAAACCATCCTTTGCCCACTGAATTAAAATCCCACCTGTTTTACAGTGTTCATTTCATCTATATTCAGAGACTTTCCCAAATATGCTCTCATTCCTTTTTCTTTTGAGTTAGTTCTACTTTAAAATATTTAGTTATAATGACTATTATAGTGCTTATATTATTTTGTTAAACTTAGCCTTTCATTTTAAATAGTCATCTTTCTCTTATTGTATTGAGTTTTAAGGTAGATACTATTGTATGTAATTTTGTTTCCTGTCACAAATTTGCAAATGTCTCTTCTCTCCTGAATGCAGTTTTTCTGTTCATTTTATATTATGAGATATTTCATAGATCAGGGCATGTTTTGCTCATCCCTTGCTCTCACTCTAACAGATAAAAGTGTGTCAGGGTCTGACGTGAGCCCAAGATCAGCATCTGTCGATTCTCTTAGATCTGCTCACTTTTCCTGATGATGCTCAGAATCTTCTCTTATCATGAACTTAGGGGCAGGCTCTGTAAAGTAAATGTATATACATACTGGGAGACATAGAAGCACGAACAAAGCACAGAAGAAGTAGGTGTCCAGGAGGGGGAATTCAGCTGAGTCCATTTTCTTCTCTGTCCGGTGGTACTGGAACATGGGAGCCAGCTTTCTGGGCCTCCCTTTGCTCAGCCCATCACACATTTTAGGTACGTACTGTGGCTCTTCTTGACCCGCCCTGGCCTCCTTGGGCAGTCACATCTTCAGGTCCCTGATCCTTTGCAGAAAAGTCCTGCTACCCCTGTGGCTCCCTGTGCCTCCAGCCAGCTCTGGTCCTCTAGTACAGGGACATTAGTGGAGTTTTCCCCGTATCTTCCATTTTCTGTGGAAGGGGACTGAGGAAAAGCCCTTGGTGTTTTCTTGCCTTTTCCCCGCATTTTGTGTTTAGCAAAAATTTTTCAAAGTCTAAGCTGGGTAGATGATACACTTCTCTAGTTTCCATTGCTGCTGCTGAAAGATTTTTATGGTTTCTTTGATTCTTTTTGTTGGAATTTGGAGATTAAGATGCTTGTGTTCAAATTGTCATCTCATATTCTCTGATTTTATTATTACATATGCTTATATTGAAATTTGAAAGTGAAATTCAGAAGATACTATTTGACACCTGAAAGACAGAATCCTTCAAAATTTCTGTCTCACAGTAGAGTGACAAAGATCTTTCAGATTTGTTTTGTGCAAAATAATGAGAAGTATCTTAGGAAAATGACATTCCAAGTAAGGGCACGGATGAGCAAAGGTGTGGAGGCAAGACGTAAAAGGAAAAAAGCTTGAGGAGGCTGGGCATGTAGTCTGGAGGCCAGTGGGCAGAGGAGTCACGGGAAACAGCCTGTGTGGCCTCTGGTGAGGCCTGGAGCTGGGTTTTGGTCAGCTGTTCAGGAAGGAGCCCTGGAAGTCACAAGCGTGTGTTTGACATGATGCGTCCTCCTTACAGAGATGAGTTTGGTAATTGTGAAGGTTGCAGTGGTGTAATGCAGCAGTTCCCAAATGGAGATAACCTTTGAATACTTTAAAAACTGCTATATATAGGAACTCACCTGTGCTTGGATCAAAACAGGAGACAACACAGAGTGGTGTTTTGGTGAAATAATTTCTGTAGAAAACCAACAACCTTTGAAGACTCTGTTTGATAACAAAACAAGAAAAGCAACAAATTAGGGAGATTAGATAAAAATTTTAAAAGAAAAAAATCACAAACATATATGCATATATATGTTTAGATTACAATGTAAGACCTACAAGGTAGCCTGGCATTCAGTGAGTGGGAGACAAGCAACTTGCTATGGTCAGTGGGAAATGCTGCCTGTTCGAGTGTGTGCATGTTGCCTCTTGCGTGTTCACGTGGCAGGTGATCTGGCCTCCAACTGCCTGTCATTCTCAAAGAGCAGACAACTGCATAAAAAAAGAACCAAAATAAGTATTGGTAGTAGTTTTTTCTAAAATACATTTAAAATGAATTTTAAGAAGAAATACCATCACTGGCTGGCTGGTTAGTTCAGTTGGTCAGAGCATGGTGCTAATAACACCAAGGTCCAGGGTTCCATCCCTGTGCTGGCCAGACGCCCAAAAAGCAAAAGAAATACTGTGAGAATTATTTTTTTTAGAACCTGCACATGCCCCTCACAGAACATTCATGCACTGTAGAAAATGTAAGAAAGGCCAAACAGCTGTATTTGCATCCAACGTTCAGTGTTTATGAGCCATGTGACATTTGTCCAGTTTTTCCCCTAAAATAAGGGATAATAACATATGAGGGTTTTGTGGAAAATTAAATTTGATGTTTTTGACACATGGTACAGTGCCCAGCATATACAGGAGAGTTGTATACATTTATTTTGCTGAAATTATTAATATTGTTTTATATGCTGAGAGCAGGTAGAAAACATGCTTTGTTTTAAATGTGGCCCCTAAACATGAAGCACCTATTTCATCTGAGACGCAACTAAAGAAAGAGCAAACTATTAAATGCTATAGGGAAAACTAATGTGTGAGACTTATTGAAAGATGGCATGTTTATATACACTTGTATTTATAAAGCCATGTGTGCTGTACTTTTGGTTAACGAGGGATTTTCAAGGCTTATTTGAATATATGTGTGATTTTTGTTTTACTGGTTGACTTTAGTACCTAACATCAGCCTTAGAGGCAATAGCTAGTCCTGCAGTTTTTTCTTTATTTAATGATTTGCTAAGATATACCTGGCTATATGTTTAAATATTTCTTAATATCCTTTATAGAATTCAGTGTTCTTATTCTTTCTCGAAGCAGAGAAAATGGAAATATTTCCTTTATTGCTGGGGCTGTTACTGGTTGATCCCAAATAGAACTAAGATAGGCTGATGTGAGGAATTTCAAACTTATTTAAGATTAAAGTAATTTTAATTACTCTAATTTTATTTATTGCAGGTAAAACCAATATTATTCTCAGTAACCATTTTCTATGGTTATTCAATTTAGTCTTTGTTTTTGTGAATCTCACACGCGCGTTCACACGCACACACGCAGAGAAAGCCCTTATATAATATGGTGGGTATTTCTCTAATCTACTTAAATAACTTGCAGAGTTTTTTGATTCTGACTCTCATTTTAGCCAAGTGGACTGACTGAATACTGTCTTTGATATCTGAAGGCTGGTGTACTGAAAATTGGTTCTTGTAGCCTTGTTGTTTTCGTACGAAGTCCAAATGAGTCTTCCTTTTTATCACTTGACATTTTGAATCACAGAGAAACTTAGATAACTGAAGGGAATACCTCAGCAGAATGTAGGATACTTCATTTTATTCTTATTAAATTATCAAGGAATGAAATGAAAATGAAT